ATTGCTATTGCTATTGCTATTGCTATAGTTGCCAAGCATCCTTATGTTGATCATGTGATCGCGGGGTGGCTGCAATGGTCGTAAGTGTGAAGCATGGTCATAAGCCACTTTTTTCAGTGTTTCTGTAACTTTGAATGGTCACTAAATGAACTGCTTTTAAGTCAAGGACTTCGGTTAGTTTACTGCCTAAACACAGGATACGCTGTGCTTATTCTTAGCCGTTGAATGGATTGTTGATGCCTCCGGAAGTAATGGTGGGCATTGCACAATACACTTCTATTCATTTAATGACTGCGTTCCAAGTTACAACAGCCCTGGAAAAAAAAAAGACTTATAACTATTTTCCAGACTTACAACCGTTGCAGCATTTCCACAGTCACGTAATCAAAATTCAGATGTGTGACAACCGGCTCATATTTAGGTGGGGGGGGGGTCACGTGATCCCATTTTGTGACCTTCTGGCAAGCAAAGTCAATACGGGAGCCAGATTCACTTAACGACTGTGTTCCTAACTTAATTGCAGGGATTCGCTGAAGATCTGGGACAAGAAAGGTAAAAAAAAAAAATGGGGCAAAACTCCCTTGTCAACTCTCTTGCTCAGCAACAATAATTTCAGGGTCGACTGTGGTCATAAGTAGAGAACTACTTGTACTATGGCCTCAACTAACCAGCTATTTGCCAGCTGAAGGAAAGACTGGCAGATACCGATAACCCTAGGCTATCTAAGGACAAGTTTGCCCTTTGTGTTGCGAAATTATTTTCAGCACAATGAACTATTTATCCTCCGAAGAGTTGGGCACACAGCGGGGATATGCTGGAGCAACAGTTTTATCTGAGATTTGTTCTGATAATATTCGGCAGCTGCATTTTCATCTATTTATTTATGCAAAGACGTCTGTTCTACTTGACTTCAAACAACGCAGGTCACCAGTTTGAGAAACGAAAAGTTCAAATTGATTCCTTTCAGTGGCAATCGGCCTCCTTGAGGGCAGGAGGACTCAGGAAATCTCCACAGGATTTGGCTATCCATTTAGTGCAGTTTTCCTTTCAAGGAGGCGTTGGCTGCTGGTCATCTGAGCAAACCCGCCCCCCCAACACATTATGCTCAGGACTGCAGGAAATAATATCATCATCCATTAATATTACGTATAGTAATTGGATTTCGTTTAATGTTTATTAAATAATTGGGTGGTAAATAGCATTACTCTCTTGCGTGCTTCGCCATGCACTAATTTTTCTTCCCCTTTTGCTGATCCAATCTAGGGGAAACTTGTTGGGATATGTGGCAGCGTGGGGAGTGGGAAAACCTCCCTCATTTCAGCCATTTTGGGACAGGTGAGATACCACTGGTCTTTTAAAAACCTATTTTTAAAAACCTCCAAGGTCCCTTCCAACTCTGCTATTGTTTTGTATTGTATTATTGTATTATTGTGTGCCTGTGTGTGTTTTTATAAAAAGTATTTTGGGGAAAAAAGGAAGGGCTATAAAGTTGACGCTTTTGCAAGAATGTCTTTCGGGATGTGATCGTTTGGCCTGTCTCCAGAAGTGGGAGGTGGGAGAGGAAAAGAAGATCTGAGAGGGAGGGGCGGACATTTATAAGACTTTAAAGGGTCCTTGGTGCTCTCTGAGCTTGGTTGCTTCCTTGGGGACGTTTCTAGCCTTTCATTACTTAATTTGGTAATGAAACATCCACAAGAAGACAGCCTAGCTCAGAGAGCACCAAGGAACCCTCATTCAACCCTGAGTTACAAATATTCTCCTTTATTGGACTTGGAGTGGGTATCTTTGATGGGCCTGTTGTCATTGTTTTCAGATGACGTTATTGGAAGGCAGCATTGCTGTGGATGGAAACTTTGCTTACGTGGCCCAGCAGGCCTGGATTCTCAATGCCACGCTTAGAGACAACATCCTTTTTGGGAAGGAGTTTGAAGAAGAAAGGTTGGTCTGCTGGAGTTCCATGCACTTTCCCTCGCAATGCAGAGAGGTGGGGAAAGGCTGATGGGTGGAGGCTGGTCCTGAACTGGCCTTGCAGCTGTTCCGGCTGGATAGTTTACATCTGATAACAAGACTGTGATTTCCGGACTGCACTTCCCTTACGGTGGATATCTTGGTTGCACTGAAATAAAACATTGGTCCAGGCCCTTTGTAACACAAAGCTATGATTTAGTATTAAATACATGAGACTTAGGGGTATGATAGCTCGGTGGTTAAAAACGCTGGAAACTATCTGCTGGAAAAGCAAACAGCCTGGGTTCAAGCCCCCAGCCTCCAGGATAGGGTGAGCGCCTGTTCCTTGCCCCAGCTCCTGCCCACCAAGCAATTTGAAAGCATGCAAATGCAAATAGATAAGGGTACCACTTCAGTGGGAAAATAACAATGTTCCCTGCATCTTGGCATATAATTATGCTGGCCATATGCCCATGGAAGTGTCTTCGGACAGCACTGTCTTAAGAAACAGGGATGAGCACTGCCCTTTAGAGTTGGGCACAACTGGCAGCGGAACCCTTTGCCTTTATATGAGAGTTGGTGAGTTTGAACTGAGCACTGGAGCCCCTTATCTTCCATTCTTCCCAGCTGGGAGGAAGCCTTTAAACCCCCGATTTTCCCTAATCCCTGGCTTATTATTTCACTGCATCACGGGAGTTGTGGTTTTAGCCAAATTACAGCTGCTTATTAAGCCGGAACCTCTTCACAAAACGGAGAGTGCTTTTCAAACATTATTTTTTGGGCACAGCTAAGAACTTGGTGAGAATCACTGATAAATCAGTAAGATATAATATGGTGTAGAGTTGAAGGTATTGGATTGGGAGCAAGGAAACTGTGAGTGACGTGGACACTGAACCACAGAAACTCCTGACTATGAGTCAGTCATCCTCTGTCAGCCCAGGCTACCTTGCAGAATTGTGCCACGTTTAATATAAGCCCCTAATAAGTAAAAAAAAAAAAAAGAGTAAACACTAAATTAGAATCCAATGAGAAAGAGTTTGGTGTAAAAGTTAAGACAACTGGCTAGAAACCATGAGATTGGGAGTTTCCAGGCCTGTTTTGAGTGACCTTGAACCAGTCTCTCTTCCTCAGCCTAGAAAGAAGGCGTGGGCAAACTGCTTGAAAAAGTTTTGCCAAGAGAAACCGCAGAGAGCTGCCCAGGGAGTTTGCAGGAAACGACACTAACTTGAACACACAAACGCGCACACACACACAAAAAATCCCATAAACTTGGCAGGAATTTTCCTCCCTGGCCACTTAAAGAGGGTGGAGGAGAAATAAATGTTATACAAAATTATAATACAGCATTATGTAAGAGCCAGCCTGATATTCCATCATTGAAAATGCAACTGATGTTACAAGTCAGTTTTGAGCCAATCACCTTCTTTATTTCCCGTTGTGCTCACCAGTCACGTATATTGTTGTTAGTTGCAAAGTCATGTCCGGCCCATCGCGACCCCACGGATAACGTTCCTCCAGGCCTTCTTGTCCTCCACCATCCCCTGGAGTCCATTTAAGCTCATGCCTACTGCTTCAGGGACTCCATTCTCTGCCGTCCCCTTCGTCTTTTGCCCTCAGTCTTTTCCAGCATGAGGCTCTTCTGCAGTGAGTCCCTCCTTTCTTCTCATTAGGTGGCCAAAGTCTTTGAGTTTCCTCTTCAGGATCTGGCCTTCTGAAGGGCAGTCAGGGTTGATCTCCTCCAGGACTGACCGGTTGGATGGCCTTGCAGTCCAAGGGACTCGCAGTCACGTATCTATTTCAAAGCAATTAGTTAATTGGCCTAACNGCAAGTGGTTGGAAAATATGATGCAACATATTGACTTGAAACCTGGAATATTCCTGTAGGGCAGTGTTTCTCAACCTTGGCGACTTTAAGTCCTGTGGACTTCAACTCCCAGAATTCCCCAGCCAGCTATGCTGGCTGGGGGATTCTGGGAATTGAAGTCCACAGGACTTAAAGTCGCCAAGGTTGAGAAACACTGCTGTAGGGGATTTTACCAGAAACCTATAATAAAGAAAATATTTATTTCATTATTCATGTAATAACCTCAGCTAGAATTGTATTTGCACAAAACTGGAAAAGTGAAAGGATTCCTACAGAGGAGAATATGATAAAGAAAATATTACAATGTGAAGTTAAGTGAACTAAAAAGAGGATGTAAAGTATTAGATATTTAATGTGTTGATATTAAGATAAGAATAGATTAAATAATGAATATAACTGTAAATTTTAACTTTTATTGCACAAACATTTGTACCGAGATGACACACTGTTTAATGGAAGATGGATTATTTGTACTAAAATAAAAAAAAATGGGGAGGGGGGAGCTAAATCACTGTTGGATTGCAACTCTGATGAGTATTGAAACGGGGCCAATATATTGTGAATATTTCAAACTTCCCTAACCAGGATGCTGGCTGAGGAATTCTGGGAACTGAAGTCCATACAAAAATTGTTGTGGTTGAGAATGTGGATGAGAAACAGTGTTCTAAGCGATTAGCTAATTCATTGGATAGATGATGCTTTTGACCTCTATTGTATGTTGGCTGCTGAAGGAGTCTGCACCTTCTGTTACGCTGATATTATCTTTCTTTCGATTCCAGATGTTTGCATCCCGGTTTACAGCTTATTTCAGAAGAAAATGTGTGGCTATAACTGATGAGCGGGTCCAGAAAATGAATGAAGTGCTTAACTATATTAAATTCATCAAAATGTATGCTTGGGTGAAAGCCTTCTCGCAGACTGTTCAAAGTGAGCTTTTTTTTTAAAAAAAAATTCTTTACTGTCTCATTCACGAGTCTTTCTTTTGATTCCTCTTTAAACGGTGAAATGACATATAAATGTTGATGCTGCTGCAAATACTGGATATGCACAAGGGAGAATTGTTTATCTGAAAGTTAAGTCATGGCAACTGGACTTATTTTCTGGCTGGTTTGGGATATTTTGCTGGCCATCCAAGCAGCTTCTTCAGTCTCAATAAGTTGGTTAGGGGAATCTGAGTAGGCAGAGAATTGTTGGCATGGGCCAACCACTAAAATTATTAGGAATGTTCTTTCACCAACTTCATGGTTTCTTCCCCAGAGTGGCAATATGTCTATGAAGAGTCTCGGTCATTCAGGTTATTGTTGTTAGTTGCGAAGTCGTGTCCGACCCATCGCGACCTCATGGACAACGTTCCTCAAGGGCCTTCCTATCCTCTACCATCCTCTGGAGTCCATTTCTGCTCACGCTGATTGCTTCAGTGACTCCATCCAGCCACCTCATTCTCTGCCGTCCCTTTCTTTTCTTGCCCTCCATCTTTCCCAGCATCAGGCTCTTCTCCAGTGAGTCTTTCTTCCTTCTCATTAGGTGGCCAAAGTATTTGAGTTGCATCTTTAGGATTTGACCTTTTAAAGAGTAGTCAGGGTTAATCTTCTCTAGGATTGACCGGTTTAATTGCATTGCAGCCCAAGGAATTTGCAGGAGTCTTCTCTCCAGCACCAGAGTTCAAAGGCCTCCATTCTTTGACGCTCAGCCTTTCTTATGGTAGAATTGTCTAAAAGTTGAGTCATGGCAACTGCACTTACAAGTAGCCCTTGACTTATGACCACAATTGAGCCCAAGGTTTTTGTGGCTAGGCATGATAGCTATTGGCTTTTGCCCTGTTTTATTACCTTTCTTGCCACCATTGAATCACTGCAGTGAATCTGGCTTCCCCTTTCACTTTGCTTGTTACAAAATGTGATCACGTAACCCATGGATTCTGCATCATAATATAAGCCCATTGCCTCCTTTTTTAAATCACATGACTATTGTGGTCCAGCAGGAGCCGTTGGAGCTGCAAACAGTTTCCGATAGTGAGGGGCCCTATGAGTTGGCTCTGGAAGATGTGGAGGACCATGGACAGGGTTCCGACTCCAAGCAGGGACTAGAGAGGCTGGTTGGCCACCAGGAGGTGCCTGAGGCATGGAGCAGCGGTGAAAGCCAAAGGGAGTGTGCCCATGACGTCAGGCCTTGGAGCAGTGGGGAGGAGATAAGGGAGTTGGTCCCAGACGCCAGGCAGAGGNGCAGTCAGGGTTGATCTCCTCCAGGACTGACCGGTTGGATGGCCTTGCAGTCCAAGGGACTCGCAGTCACGTATCTATTTCAAAGCAATTAGTTAATTGGCCTAACAGTCACAATTCAACCTGACAAAACCAGATAAATTTCTAAATCTCCCAATAGGGCAGACCTGTGTCTGGCTTAGATTTTCTAAACATTGTCTTTCACTCTTTAAACAGACCCTGGGAAAATGCTATTGGGGCAGACTTAGTCCCAATTAATTTAGTCCCAATTAACTATTCACGGCTTTTTAAAAATACGTATGTCCATCTATACATATATATGTATATATTTAGGTACAATATGGTGTTGAATGATTGCTGTCTCCGACCTGATCTGGCTATCCTGCCAAACGGGGATCTGACCGAGGTAAGAACCTTGCTTGAACACATCAGCCCCCCAATTCTAGGAGACCCTTCTGTAGAGGGAAAATGTGTGACATCCTTAGGAGTTGATAAACAGCCTTGCTTGTTAACTTCGTGACACCTTAACTACTCAATATGTAATCAGACTCTAAAATATGAGACCTGTTTACCAACCATGTCGTTAATGGTTTTGTGGGTTAATGTGGGGCAGGAAAGACCAGGTCCACATGTGAAGGTCTAATTAAATTAATTTATAGCTAGTCATGCCTGTGTACTGAAATCTTCTCAACTAATGCTCAGCACCTGCTTGGAGTCAAATAGAATGGAATAGAATTCTTTATTGGCCAAGAGTGATTGGACAACAAGTAATTTGCCTTTGGTGCATATGTGCTCTCAGTGCACATAAAAAGACAAGACACATTCGTCAAGAATCATAAGGTACAAACACTTAATGATAGTCATAGGTTACAAATAAGCACTCAGGAAACAGTCAATATCAATATCAATTGTAAGGATACAAGCCACAAAATTACTGTCCTGCAGTCATAAGTGGGAGGAGATGGGTGATAGGGACGATGAGAAGACTAATAGTAATAATAATGCAGCCTTAGTGAATAGTTTGACAGTGGTGAGGGAATTATTTGTTTAGCAAATAAGAGTCATGGGAATTCAAGGAAAGTTAGACTTAATTCATTTGTGGCTATGTAGGGATTCTAGGCTGATCCCTCTTTTAACTCCACCCACAGGTTCTGCCACTCTTTCTCTTACAGTTATTTCACAAAATAATAATTAGGTCATGTCCTTGTTACACGTTGAGGAGAGGAATCTCAAAATTAAGTGCTTTGTCAACTGCTGTGGGAGAAAGATGGCTAGTTTCCAAATTTGTAAATAAATTATGTTTCTCTTGTTAAAAAAAGGTAGATACCTTAAGTGAGGGGTGAGTTTGGTAAAGTATTTATTGCTAAGGAAAGATTATTTTCTGGAAAGAGCAGGTTCTGTTTGTTGTTTCAAGTTAAACTCAATTGATGGAAATATTATAAAGCATTTTTTGAATGGCAGCACCCAAATTGTACAATTTTCTCCCAGAGAAGCAAGGGTCAGCTCCATCTTTGGAGGTTTTTAGGTAATAAAAAAACATTCCTGCTTTAAATGTATTTGAAATCCTTATTTTATTCCTGTCTGCTTTTTTAGAAGGATGGTTTTAATTTCATTTGCTAATTTCTTAGGGTCAGAAGGTAGTTGAAGAGACTTTCTAATAATTGATCAAATACTTTTGAATGTTGCCTTGGGTGCACTTCCTGCTTCTCATTTCAGTTGAATTGTAAAATTATGTAACTGCATTGAAATAAGTTGGATGCCCATCAAGTGATTATCGTTGCTGTTTTTTAAATAGGCATCTGCTGTTTCTGTCAATTATATTTTATGTTTCTGTTGTTTTCAAATATATTTGTCTCTCTCGCATTTTTTAAGTAAATAATAGGTTACAGTACTAGATAGTTTGAGCCTGTAGAATCTTTGGCTTTGAATCTTTGCTATAAAATTCAGTAAATGGTTTCCAGTAAGTTACGACTATTTGAATTCTGCTAATTATTGGAATCCTGCTTTGAGTTTTGGACAAATGACAGGATTGATAAATAAGGAATGAAGAAGGTCTTAACCGATGACTAAACAAATATTTGAACAAGGCATGTTTTATTTAGATTGGTGACCGGGGCGCAAACTTGAGTGGGGGGCAGCGCCAACGGATCAGCATTGCCCGCGCGCTGTACAGCGACAAGAGCATCTTCATCCTCGATGACCCTTTGAGTGCCTTAGATGCCCATGTTGGAAACCACATCTTCAACAGTGCCATCCGAAAGCACCTGAAGTCCAAAACGGTTCTTTTCATCACACATCAGCTCCAGGTAAGCTGAGAGTGTTACCTTGCTCTGTTCTGCTCAGGATTTCATGGGCTGAATAAATGTAACTTCTGCTGTTCAGAGTAGGTCTTAATTTAATCAACCTAATTGGGTTACAGCCTCACAGAAGAAGTAAAAATACAGAGGATTTTAGCCTGTGTATTTGAGAGTCAACAGCAGCCAAGAGTGAGAAGGAAAAGCAAGCAATTTGTTAACTGATATATAGAAGTGTATATCCTGCATTTTCAGTTCGCGCAGGTAGTCCTTGATTTACAGTCATTTATTTAGTGACCATTTGAAGTTATGACACTGATAAAAAGTGAGTTACGATCGTTTTTCATACTTAGAACTGTTACAGCATCCTCATGGTCATGTGATCAAAAATTGAATGCTTGGCTTGGCTGGATTTGCTTAATCCCCAGTGATTCACTTAACAGCTGCAGTGATTCACTTAACAGCTGTGGCAAAAAAGGTTGCAAAATGAGGCTATACTCACTTAATGACTGCCTTGCTTATTGGAAATTCTGGGCTCAATTGTGGTTGTACGTTGAGGTCTACCTGTATGGACTGTTTATATCCAAATTATTATGGGGTGAAATTACCGTATTTTTCGGAGTATAAGACGCACCTTTTTCCCTCAAAAAGAGGTGAAAATCGGGGTGCATCTTATACGCTGAATACAGCATTTTTGTCCTCCCAAAACCCTGCCTCCTTTGCAAAAATAGTTGTGCAGAGCCTTTAGGAGGCTTCCAGAGTGCTCCTGGGGGCTGGGGAGGGCAAAAATCGGGCCATTTTTTGCTCGTTTTTGCCCTCCCCAGCCCCCAGGAACACTCTGGAAGCCTCCTAAAGGCTATGCATGCCTTTTTTTTTTTTTTAACAAAAAAGGGCCTGTTTTTGGGAGGTCTGTAGAGTGCAAAAACTTCTTTTTTTTAATTTGCCTCTTCAAAATCTTGGTGCGTCCTATACTCCGGCATGTCTTATACTCCAAAAAATAAGGGTAATTTTCCCATGTGAAGAGAGGTTACAGGAGTGGGTGCTTCCATGTTTAGAAGAATCTAATGGCTTATTTAACAGGCCTGAGATTCTCTGCTAAAGAGACAGAAAGCTGCCCCAAGATAAATTGGTGCAAACATTGTTATTAAACCCATCTGCCTTGCACGGTTGCGATAGTGACTAGTATAAAGGAAAGTGAATATGGAGGGGATTTAGGAAGAGGAAATCTCATGGCTTAGAGACTGGCATGATGAATTGGGTGGCCATCCTGAATGAATGAACAATTGAATAGAAACATAGAAAACTGACAGCAGAAAAAGACTTAACTGGCCTCTTGAGAGGGG